TCTGATAGGGAGAGTCCTCTTCCCCAAAAGATTTTAAGTGTTTTGGTTGTTTTAATTCCTTTGTACTTCTGTATGAATTTTAGCATCCTTGTCACATTTTGCTTGGAATTACATTAAAAATCTACGTATAATTCACCTCTGGGGAATTACTATTTTAATAATATTGAATCTTTTGGTCAATAATTATGGCATATATCCTCATTTACTTAAATATTTTGTTTCTTTCATCAGGATTTTATAGTTTTTATCATACAGGTCTCGCATGTGTCTTATAATTTATTCCAAAGTATTTTATGTTTTGATATGCTTTAAAAATTGAGTTATTTGGCTGGACATTTTTGGAAGCTGAGGCAGGCAGATCACTTGAGCCCAGGAGTTCAAGACCAGCTGGGCAACATGGTGAAACCCCGTGTCTACAAAAAGTACAAAAAATTAACTGAGTATGGTGGCACATCCCCAGAGCCCTAGCTACCTGGGACGCTGAGATAATAGGATCACTTGAGCCCGGGAGGTCAAGGCTACAGTGAGCCATGATCGTGTCACTGCTCTCCAGCCTGGGTGAAAGAATGAGAGACCCTATCTCAAAAAAATAAGTAAATACAGTTGACCTTGTATCCTGCCAGTCTTGCTAAATGTACTTGTTAGTTCTTTTAGCTTTCTTATATGTTCCTTAAGATTTTCTATATACATTTGTCTATTTTGGCTTTTGTTGCCATGGCTTTTGGTGTTTTAGTCATGAAGTCCTTGCCCATGCCTAGGTCCTGAATGGTATTCCTTAGGTTTTCTCCTAGGGTTTTTATGGTGTTGGGTCTTATGTTTAAATCTTTAATCCATCTGGAGTTAATTTTTGGTAAGGTGTAAGGAAGGGTCCAGTTTCAGCTTTCTGAATATGTGATGTTCCCCTCCCTGTGTTCATGTGTTCTCACTGTTCAACACCCACTTATGAGTAAGAACATGCGGTGTTTGGTTTTCTGTTCTTGTGTCAGTTTGCTGAGAATGATGGTTTCCAGCTTTATCCGTCTCCTTGCAAAGGATATGAACTCATCCTTTTTTATGGCTGTATAGTATTCCATGGTGTATATGTGCCACATTTTCTTTATTCAATCTCTCATTGATGAGCATTTGGGTTGGTTCCAAGTCTTTGCTACTGTGAACAGTGCCACAATAAACACACATGTGCATGTGTCTATAATAGCATGATTTATAATCCTTTGGGTATATACTAAAAAATGGGATTGCTGGGTCAAATGGTATTTCTATTTCTTGATCCTTGAGGAATCGCCACACTGTCTTCTACAATGGTTGAACTAATTTATATTCCCACCAACAGTTTAAAGTGTTCCTATTTCTTCATATTCTTTTTAGCGTCTGTTGTCTCCTGATTTTTTAATGATTGCCAGAATCTTGCTCTGTTGCCCAGACTGGCGTGCAGTGGTGAAATCTCTGCTCACTGCAACTTCTGCCTCCTGGGTTCAAGCGATTCTCCTGCCTCAGCCTCCTGAGTAGCTGAGATTACAGACACCCACCACCACACTCAACTAATTTTTGTATTTTTCAGTAGAGTCTAAAAAATAAATCAGGCTACTGCGTCCAGCCTTATTTATTTTAAATTTTTGAGACAGGGTCTTGCTCTGTTGTCCAGGCTGGCCTGGAAATCCTGAGCTCAAGAGATCTCCTGTCTCCATCTTCTGAGTAGCTGTTTCTCTTTTCTATTTCATTTATTTCTATTCATACTTTATTATTTTTTTCCTTTTTACTTTACTTTATATTAATTCTAGTGTTTTAAGCTTGGATCTCAAACCTGTCTTCTCTTCTAATACATTTATGTTTGTTTGTTTGTTTGTTTATTTATTTATTGAGACTGAGTTTCACTCTCTTGCCTAGACTGGAGTGCATTGGTGCAATTTTGGCTCATGGCAACTTCTGGCTCTTGGACTCAAGTGATTCGCCTGCCTCAGCCTCCTGAGTGGGACTACAGGTGTACACCACCACACCTGGCTAATTTTTTGTATTTTTAGTAGAGATAGGGTTTCACCATGTTGGCCAGGCTGGTTTTAAATTCCTGACCTCAGGTGATCCTTCTGCCTCGGCCTCCCAGTGTGCTGGGATTACAGGTGTGAGCCACTGCACCAGCCACCTTTTATTTTTGACCACATATTATATGACTTATTTATGTGGAGTGTCCAGAATAAGCAAATTTGTAGATACCAGAAGCAGATGAGGGGTTATCCAGGGCTGAGGGAGGAGACTGGGGCAAATGGGGGAGGGATCTGCTAGAGAATAAAGGGCTTCCTTTGGGGGTGATGAAGTGCTCTAAAATTGGTTGTGGTGATAAACAACTTTCTGGATATAATAAATGCCACTGAATTGTACACATTAAATGGGTGAATTGTATGGTATGTTAGTTGTATATTAGTAAAACTGTTACAAAGAAATACAGTCTGCCTCTTGCTAGCTGTATGACATTGAAGAGTGATCTCACCTCTCCTAGCCTTAGTTTATGTATCTGTAAAATGGTAACAGAAGCTACCTCATGAGATTGCTATGATGTTTCAATGGGAGGATTGTGTAACTACTGAGCATAGAAGTGCTTACCTTTTAAGCATTGCTTTAACTGTATAATTTCAGTTTTAAAATTTATTCAGATTTTTTTGATCCAGCATATGAATTATCTCGGCAGTGGTTTTATCTGCACTTGAAAAGAATTCAGTGTATTCTGGTATTACTAGATGGAATTATATAAAAATGTCAGTTTGTTCAATTTGATATTAAACTAATTTGAAGAGTGTTCTCTGTATCTTCTGCATTCTTTTTGATTTTCTCTCTGCTCTTTCAATTTCTGAAACAGTAGTATTTAAACCTCTAATCATGGCTGGGTACAGTGGCTCGTGCCTACAATCCCAGTGATTTGGGATGCTGATGCGGGTAGATTGGTTGAGCTTAGGAGTTTAAGATCAGTATGGCCAACATGACAATACCCTATTTCTACAAAAAATACAATATTTAGCTGGCCATGGTTACGCATACCTGTAGTGCCAGCTACTTGGGAGGGAGCCTGAGATGGGAGGATCACTTGAACCCAGGAGGTTGAGGCTGCAGTGAGTTGTGATCATGCCAGTGCACTCCAGCCTGGGCAACACAGTGAGATTCTGTCTCAAAAAAGTTTTTATTTTTGTAATGTGAGATAAGTGAGTCCTATAGGCAGAGAGAGAGAAGTTAACATTTACGTGCATGAACTGTTGCATGAGATATATAGAAAAGAAGTAACTTCTTTAGGGAATTTTAAATGTATGGCAGGATTAAAGTTTATAGAACTGACCAAAGGAAGAATAATTTCTAAGTGGGGCGTGGTGACTCATGCCTGTAATCCCAGCACTTTGGGAGGCCAAGGTGGGCGGATCACCTGAGTCAGGACTTCAAGACCAGCCTGGCCAACATGGCAAAACCCCGTCTCTTCTAAAAATACAAAAAATTAGCTGGCGTGGTGGCAGGTGCCTGTAATCCCAGCTACTCAGGAGGCCAAGGCAGGAGAACTGCTTGACCTGGGAGGTGGAGGCTACAGGAAGCCAAGATTATGCTATTGCAATCCAGCCTGGGCAACAGAGCAAGACTCTGTCTTTAAAAATAAAACAAAACAATTTCTAAATGAGAATTACCCAGTTCTTGAAATTGTCTTCTTTTGTTTCCATGTCAAACTTTTCCATGTCAATTTTTTTCTTTTATTATTTTTTCTGCTTGCTTTCTTATTTTTTGAGACAGAGTCTCACTCTGACGCCTAGGCTGGAGTGCAGTGGCGCAATCTTAGCTCACTGTTACCTCCACCTCCAGGATTCAAGTAATCCTCCTGCCTCAGCCTCCCATGCTTGCTTTTTTCTTCTGATTTTTCTCTACCATTTTTATCCCTCCTTAACTCTCTTCACTGTCTTTGCTAATATTCTTAGAAATCTCATTCATTTTCATAGCTTCAGTTTTTATCTCCATGAAGATTCTATCAGTATTTACATACACTCAAACTTGTCTTCTGAGATACTGCCCTGAATTTGCAAATTCTGTTTGAGGGGCGGTTCTGTCATTATCATATTGCCTCAAATAAAATATACCTAAAACCTGAAGCCTTATACTCTCCCCAAATTAGCTCATCCTGTACCTCACCTTTTCATTCAGAAGCTCCCCAGCCTTCTCTCAAGTCATCATGTGTTCCTGGAATCTTAGTCATTTTTGATACCTCCCTATTCTATAATTAATTGCCAAGGCCCATTAATTTGAGCTTGTCAATGCTTCTCATGTCTTTTCCCTCTTATTTCTTTTTTTAAGACAGGGTCTCACTGTGTTGTACAGGCTAGAGTATAGTGACATGATCACAGCTTACTTCAGCTTTGACCTCCTGGGCTCAAGCAGTCCCCCTGCTTTAGTCTCCCAAGTAGCTAGGAACACAGACATGGCACCACTACACCCAGCTTATTTTTTTATTTTTGACTTTTTTATAGAGATGGGAGTCCACTGTGTCACCCAGGCTGGTCTCAAACTCCTAAATTCAAGCAACCCTTCTGCCTCTGCCTCCCAAAGTGCTGGGATTACAGGCATGAGCCACCATGGCCAGCCACCCCAGCCTCATTTTAATTTCCAAAGCAATATCTTTTTATTTGTTTAACAGATACTCGTTGAAATTCTAAATGTGTTCGGATTTTTCCCCCCCAATAGCATGAATTATATGGTTTCCACATAATACAGATCATAGTGCCTAGCAACAATAGACCTCAGTAAGCATTTGTGAATAACTCATTAAATGAATATATTACATTGAACCATATGAAATTGTCATTTTTAGAAGTCAAAATGGTTAAATATCAGCAATTCAATATTCAACAAATATATTAATAAGAATTATTTCAATATAAAAGAGAAAATGCATATTATATTACTCCTTGACACTGTATCAATGTGTATAATTTTCTTTCATTGGACTATAAAACTTGACTTTTCTCTTCTTTGCCTACCAGGAAACACGAAATTATCCAGAATCGTATCCACAACTGCCAAGGGATGAAACAGTGGAGAATCCTCATCTCCAGAAGCACATTTTGGAATTAGCATCCATTCTGGATGTTCGAAACGTGTTCTTTGAGAATACCATTGATGACTATTAAAACAAAAACCCTCTTGTCAAAACAAGTTTTCATTTTCCAAAAATTTTAAATGGTGCAGTTTTCTAATGTGATAACAGACGCATAGTGGTGTTACTTACTTTTTATTTTTTAATTTAGGGCCACCATTTTAAAAAAAAACTAAGGAAAAAAACGTTCACACTTTTAGCGTAACTGTTTTAAAATGCAACCTTTCAGGTCTTTTAAAATCTCAATCTTGGAATTTTTATTTTTTGCTTTTGAGGGATGGATATTTACCTCGAACATCTAATCCTACACTCAAATAGTCACTATTCTCACCCTAAGAAGAGTAAACCATTTATTTTTGTATAATGAGGTAAATCCAACTCTTATACTTGGATAGGTTAAATGTCTGGATTTGGATATATATAATGGTTCATAATAATGAAGCTAGCCATGATGGACTGCTGAAAATCAAGAACAGAGTCCCTCCATCATATATTTTTTTCTCTTTCCAACTTAGCTGGTAGAAAAATGTTTGGTTCTTTGAAACATGATCAAGCCAGTTTTTGAAATCATTTAATTTCTTTCAGTACTGTCATAATTTCAGAAATTGGATTGATTTGCATTTGAAAGCTAGATCTTAATTGAGGACTTGAGATGGTAAATATTACTTGGAATGTATGAGTATTGTGTAAGGAGATTTATTTGCATATTTTGTTTTCTTTGTAGTCTTTGAATGCTGGAAATGAAAAAGGAAACAACTTTGAAATATTTCAGCCAAAAAAACATGTAATTAGTTTCATAATACAGTGCCTCCAATAGGAATTCTATTTAAACTCTTGGTTTATGAGATCACATTTAAAGACTGGATTGATATCTGTGGCATAGAGTATAAAGTTTTAATTTTTTGCCTCGTTCAAATTTATGAGACTTCAAAGTCAGAGATGTTTTGAATTTTGGTAAGGATTGATGGGTGTTATGAAACCTAAAATATAAGTTGATTTTGTATTGACAATTTGGAAATAAGATTTATTAACATTCCCTGTATTTAGTATTTATATTAATGCACAAAATTTTATTATCTTAAATAAGATTCAGTGTATATTATAAGAATTTTTCTTTTTTGTGTTTTCCTTCCCTGTCATTCCCTTTATAATTTCACAGTCACTAGCTAGGATATCCCCTCCTCCTTTTTGATTATCCAGCATTCAATTTCAGAAATCTGTGAATGAAAGGCATTATACCTAATTTTCTGTACAGGATCACATCTGGCAGTCCCAGGGGAAGTGAGGTGATTGCTTTTGGTATCTCTTTCTCATGACACTAGGTAAATTTTGTACTGTAATTTTTGTTTGTTTTGAGACGGAGTCTTGCTCTTGTTGCCCAGGCTGGAGTGCAGTGGCACGGTCTTGGCTCACTGCAACCTCTGTCTCCTGGGTTCAAGCAATTCTCCTGTCTCTGCCTCCCTAGGAGTTTGGATTACAGGCACCCACTACCATGCCTGGCTAATTTTTGTATTTTTAGTAGAGATGGGGTTTCACCATGTTGGTCAGGCTGGTCTCAAACTCCTGACCTTGTGATCTGCCTGCCTTGGTCTCCCAAACTGCTGGGATTACAGGCATGAGCCACCATGCCCGGCCATTATTTTTAACTTGGTTTTCATTTCTGGCATAGAGACTAATTTGGGTCTAAGTTATTCCCATTCCTGCTCTGATTTGCTGATGTTTTAAATCTGTCAAAAGTTACTGTTTTGGGGTTTGGGGACTTGGTGGGTATTTTGTTTACTTTTTTTTTTTTTTAAGAGATAAGGTCTTGATCTGTTGCCCAGGCTGGGGTGCAGTGGTATGATTATGGCTTACTGCAGCCTTAAACTCCTGAACTCAGGCAATCCTCCCACCTCAGCCTCTCAAGTATCTGGGACTACAGTCATGCATCACCGTGCCTAGCTAATTTTCTTTAGTTTTTAATTTTTTGTATAGAGATGTGGTGTCACTTTGTTGAGCAGGCCAGTCTCGAACTCCTGGGCTCAAGTGATCCTCCTGCCTCAACCTCCCAAAGTGCTAGGATTACAGGTGTGAGCCACTGTACCTGGCCTATTTACTTTTTAAAAATATTTTTGTTTGTTCTTTCAAACAGTATTTCAGAAAGCTTGAGAAAAGTTACCCTGGAAAGAGATTTCCTTTGCTAGTGGGTTGTTTTCATTTTCAAGTAAAGACTGCTTTCCCTTTTCTTCAGTGTCTTAACTTCATAGCTTTCCTTTAGTAACAGTGTTCATTGAACTCTACAGCAATAGACTGTCTTCCATTTTCTGACCTCTTATTTCAATTCCCCTTAAGTCCTATGCCAGTTATGGTCCTACCAACACAGGGTTTCCTGTCCTCTAATGTTTAAATAGTATTTACTGTTCTGAGCTTTATCCTCCCCTGTTAAGCATAAAGAACACTGGTCTGAGAACTAGGAGACCTGAGTTCTAGTCCTGGCTTTCCTGGTAACTAGTGTTACACCCTTTGACAAGTGTCTTCATGTCTCTGCTTGTTAGCACTCTCATCTGTAAAATGAAGAGGTTGGCCCAGGTCTTTTCCAACTCTATGATTCCATAATTTGGACTCTTGTTTCCAAAAGTATTGATTTCCCCACTCCAACCACCAGGAGAACTATTTACCCTGTTTGTAGTGTACACAGTTTCTTTTGTAGGTCATATTTACCTAGATTTTGTTCAAGAAGATCTGGGTCCCACTTAACTGTTTTAGAAACTAGTGCAGAGGGAAACTCTCCTAAAGAAATTAGAGCTTTTATGATTAGAAACATGTTTGTCTAAAAATAAGGGTCTTAGGCCGGGCGTGGTGTCTTACACCTATAATCCCAGCACTTTGGGAGGCCGAGACGGGTGGATCATGAGGTCAAGAGATCGAGACCATCCTGGTCAACATGGTGAAACCCCGTCTCTACTAAAAATACAAAAATTAGCTGGGCGTGGTGGTGCACACGTGTAGTCCCAGCTACTTGGGAGGCTGAGGCAGGAGAATTGCTTGAACCCTGGAGGCGGAGGTTGCGGTGAGCCAATATCGCACCATTGCACTCCAGCCTGGGTAACAAGAGCGAAACTCTGTCTCAAGAAAATAAATTAAAAAAAAATAAGGGTCCTAAAATTCACAGCATTGACCCTTATCATGTTGCCTCTCAAGCTAATAGTGTAATTCCTTACTGGTGGTTAAAAATCTAAAGTGAACTGAAGTGATCTTGAATCTTGAAAGAGAGAAAAACTGTGCTGGAAAATGTTATTGTTTAATTGATGCCTTAAAAAGCAATGCGTATTAAACAACCATTATACTCCAGATTTTCTTCTGGGCATTGGGGAAGCAAACAAAATAGACTTAAAAATCCTTGTGTTCATGAAGCTTACATTCTAGTAGGAAGAGTAAGGCAATAAACAAAAGTAATTTATGTTAGAAAATGTCAAGTAAGATGGAAAAGTGTAGATTATGGTAAGGTAAATATTTTGTTTTCTTAAGAGAAGAACAATGTTTAAAAGAGTAATCAAGCAGGGCATGGTGGCGTGCCCCTATTTGTCCCATAACCTGGCAGGCCAAGGTGGGAGGATCACTTAAGCCCAGGAGTTTGAGGCTGTCATGAGCTGCGATCGTGCCACTGCACTCCAACCTGGGTGACAAACCAAGACCTTATCTCTGGAAAAAAAGAAAAGAAAACGGAGTGATGATCAGGGTAGGCTTTACTAGGAGGGTCACATTTGCATGGATACCTTATTTGTCTTTTCTTTCTTCACTTTTGTTTTGTTTTTTTGAGACAGAGTTTTGCTATTGTTGCCCAGGCTAGAGTGCAATGGTGCGATCTCAGCTCACTGCAACCTCCACCTCCAGGGTTCAAGCGATTCTCCTACCTCAGGCTCCCGAGTAGCTAGGATTACAGGCATGCACCACCATGCCTGGCTAATTTTGTATTTTTAGTAGAGATAGGATTTCTCCATGTTGGTCAGGCTGGTCTTGAACTCCTGACCTCAGGTAATCCACCCACCTCGGCCTCCCAAAGTGCTGGGATTATAGGCATGAGCCACTGTGCCTGGCCCTCTTTCTTTACTTTTTATCATGAAATTGTTAAACATACAGCATTTGGGGTTGTTGGTTTTTTTTTGTTTGTTTGTTTTTTGAGACAGAGTTTCACTCTTGTTACTCAGGCTGGAGTGCAGTGGTGGGATCTTGGCTCACTGTGATCTCTGTCTCCTGGTTTCGTTGCTTCTCCTGCCGCAGCCTTCCCAGTATCTGGGATTACAGGCATGAACCACCAAGCCCAGCTAATTCTGTATTTTTAGTAGAGATGGGGGTCTCACCATGTTGGTCAGGTTGGTCTCAAACTCCTGACCTCAGGTGATCCACCTGCCTCAGTCCCCTAAAGTGCTGGGATTACAGGCATGAGCCACCTTACCTGGCCTAAACCTACACTTTAACAAACCCTCATTGTACCTCACCGAGCTTCTGTATTTTAAGGTATTACTTTAATCAAGGAAGAAGAATTATGTTAAAGGACAATTGCCCAATGGGCTTGAACTGATACTGGCAAAGAATTTCATTTTTTAAAAATGCAAAAAAAAGGCTGGGCGCAGTGGCTTATGCCTATAATCCCTTTGGAAGGCTGAGGCTGGCGGATCATGAGGTCAGGAATTTGAGACCCGCCTGGCCAATATGGTGAAACTCTGTCTCTACTAGAAATACAAAAATTAGCCGGGTGTGGTGGCGTGCACCTGTAGTCCCAGTCTTCAGGAGGCTGAAGCAGAAGAATTGCTTGAACCCGGGAGGCGGAGGTTGCAGTGAGCTGAGATCACACCACTTCACTCTAGCCTGGGCAACAGAGTGAGACTCGGTCTCAAAAAAAAAACAAAAAAAAGCATACCACTTGCCCTTAATAAATGCAAACAATTTAAGCCCTTTATTAGAATTCATAAAAATTTAAATATTGGAACTAATAACAGAGTAAAGCAAAGGGAAAAAGCACTTTGTTTTCAAATTGCACAAATTCTCCCTGGAGATTCTGATACAGTCTCTCATGTCTTATTAAGTCTCACTGTAAAAAACATAGAAAGCCTAAGACTATAAGACATCAGTTATACACAAAACAAAATGAAGCACAATGGAATTTTCTCTTTCTTTATATTTCTGAAGTTGGTAAAGCAACTATCTTCTCTATTTTACAGAAAAGAAAACAGAGACCCAAAATGCTATTCATAGTAATAGAACTAGAATTAAAACTCAGATCTCTTCATCTCAGCCCAGTCTTTTCAGTAGCTCAGACTGCTTTCTATAATGAACAAAAAAGAATAATTAGAGATTTGTATTTTGGCACAAAACAGCATCAAATTTTTATTAATTATAAAAATCTGTGAGTCTGACATTTTATCTTTTATTCTAGCCAAGATGTATTCTTCGTATGCACGTGTGTTTCTCCTAGAAAGTGGTGCTCTCAAACCTCTCAAGGCACAGAATTTATTGTACCCTCTTTATTTTTACCAAATTGAAATGTTTAAGGATTTCAGAAGCAAAGTGCAATCCACTTGTGGCTGAAGTTTTACTGATACAAGATTCGGGTGGTTTCCTTCTCTCCAACTTCTGGCTACTGCCCTTTATTTCCTTTGTGCAATAGAATTCCCTGAAACAGATTAGGTGGTAATTGTACTGAATTTAGTCAGGATAATGGGAAAAGTGACAAATTAGATTTATGTATTAGGTATTATGGAGCTTTCTTTAGCACTCTCCTCCAAGTTTAATCTCTGACATGTGTGATTTAGTAACTTTCTGTCTCTGAAAAGCAGTTTGGACCCGGTTGAAAAATCTTAGCTATTTATGGAGACTTGTAATCAGCCTGATATACAGAGAAAATTCTGGACTGGAAATATAGTCAGGCACCAAGGTCTGCTAACTTGGCCATTGTCATTGATTCAAAACCACCTCCCCACCCTGAGTGAGTATAAGATTGATATGAATCTGAATGCTGTGAGTCTCCTGGTGATACTTTGAGTGTATATGTTCTTGTGTGTTTTTGGAAAGCATAGAAAGTATTTAGCTTGAGGGCTTTTTTGTTGACCTTATTTATTTAAAATTCTTATTTTGTTTGTAATGGCATATGTATATTTTTGTGATGCTACATCCAATCTGTGTATACTTTTTGTATATATGTGTACATATTTGTAAATATATTGATATGCAATGATACAGTATGTGTATATTATGTACCCATACCCATTGTGGGCTGAATTTATTTAAGTTCTGTGAGGACATCCTAGTGGCATTGTTCATGCTGCTGTAATTAGGTTGTGGCTGTATCTCATTCATGAGCCTCTATTTTGAGGGGCTTGTGTTTGGATAAGATGGGCTAATTTGAAATTGAAACAGAAAGCTGGATATTCTTAGCTTTAAAATCACTTGCAGATTTTTATTTAAGCTGATGATAAATTAGTGATATAAACCTGAAAAACCTAAGTATGTGAAACTGAGACACCAGCAGATTCTTAAGCTGTATTAGTCCTTTATTTTCTTGATCCACATTTGAGTATTATTACTGAATAGTAAATTACTTACATTGGGACCTAATCAAGAGGCTGTGGGAACAAAAACTGCTTTGATCACATTTAAAAATAGGAAAATGTCTGTTAAATAGAGGAAATATATTCCCAGTTTTCATTTTTATGCCTCATACTGAATTTTGATTTTGCAACAATTTTTTGTTTTCATTGGTGTGCCTCGTTTTATATGTGTCTCTGTGAGGCAGAAAAGGGGACATTAGCTAAGGGATGGCCTAACCTAAGTAGGATAGCATTTAATGAGGAACAGGAGGTTGTTAATTTGTATATTTGCAGCAGCTATGATTAATTTAGTCCTGTCTTGGCATTTCCGGCTACAGATTTTTTCTTATTGAACTTGCATATCAAAGGTGAGTAGGCTCATCTGAGAAAATGCTTCCAGTGAATAAAATGCCTCCCGTTGTATTGCTGTGTCTCTATGAGACCACTTGTGTTCTGCAAGTTGATGATATATTCACACATGAAGCAGTTTTTAATATTAGATGCATGGTGTGCTATAAAAATCTGGGCCTTCAAACCTCTCCCAAGGATGATAAGGTTGGGGAGGATAAGAGGATAGTAAATATGTGCAGTGCCAATTTGTGAACCTGTAGAATGTTGCCAAGTATCAATGTTTGGTTACACCTGTCTTCAGTTGACATATTTATCTGCATGAAAGAGTGTAGGAGAAGTTTAATGTACACTTAAATACATTCCCTGCAGAAATTAAGTAGAGCTTATTTTCGCATGATAAAATGTAACTGCAAAGCAATTTTTTACACCAATATTCTTTGGAAGATTAAATCTATCTGATCCAATATTAAATTATCTTAAAAGAGAAATTATCTCAGGAGTCAGTTTAATCACCCCAAAAATGTTACATTTGCTGATTAATTGTATTTTATAAAACAGCCAACTATGCATAACACTTTTCAATTACAGTATTAAATTTAGAAATAATTATAACAGCATTTTTCTTGAATAATTATTAAAATTTGGTAATTTATTTCTGAAAAATCAGTAAAAACATCCATAGGATCTGATACTCTGTTGTTTGAATAGCCAAATCATTGTTTTGCACTGGAGAGTAGTAGAGCAGATATTATAGATATTACACCATTTAAAATTCATGCAACTGACTCAGGCTTCTTGTGGATATTGAGGACGGTAGTAATAATCAAAAGTAAAGTAGAAAAGACTGACATTGTGAATGTAACCTCTGGCCCTGACCATTGTAAAGCCAGTCGTTTTGTGATTGAATAAGGTAACACTTAGAAAACCCAGCCCTTTCCCCCTAGTCTCCTGCACTCTTATACATTGATACTTCATACCTATTTGTGCTGTACCTCTCAGTCTTACCTGGATCATGGGACCACTTAAAAAAAAGTGATTCATTTTCCTCAAACTAGAATCTCAACACCTAATATTACACTGTGTTCCAGCTTCATTGGGTTTTGAACAAAAAGACCTAAGCACGCCTTGTGCTTAAGGAAAAATAATTGATGTGTGAATGGAATCAATCACCTATTGATGTCAAGGGTGTCAGGATGATGTAGGGGGATATGCCTTTAATTGGGTAACAATAACTGTATTAAGTATAACTAATTTGTTGGTGCCATAGAAATATTTCCTTTGGAATTATGTAAATATGAAATGTTTTTAAACTAAAATTGGTATTTTTCACTTATTAGTTTAGTGTAATACTGACTTTTGAGTATAATTCCAATTTTACATAACATCATTATTTAATCACCTATGGAGGCACCATTCTTCATTTTAAAATATTTTTGTTAATTTATTTTGTGGTTTTAAGAATTATTAATTATATTTTTATTTTTTTGAGACAGAGTTTCACTCTTGTTGCCCAGGCTGGAGTACAATGGTGCAGACTCAGCTCACTGCAAACCTCCACCTCCTGGATTCAAGAGATTCTCCTGCCTCAGCCTCCCAAGTAGCTGGGATTACAGGCATTTGCCACCACGACCAGCTAATTTTGTATTTTTAGTAGAGATGGGGTTTCACCAAGTTGGTCAGGCTGGTTTCGCACTCCTGATCTCAAGTCATCCACCTGCTCGGCCTCCCAGAGTGCTGGGATTACAGGTGTGAGCCACTATGCCTGGCCTAAAAAAATTATTTTTGAAATAGTTATCAGACTACTCTAAGCAGTGTGATTTTTAAACATACTTGGACAGTAGACTCAGAGTTTTTTTTTAAATAGTTTTAAGTACATTATATTAAAACTACAAACTCACTTATTCAAGCCTAAATATTGTCACAGAACAGACTATAAATTGGGAATCAATTTCCTATTTTGGTGTACAGTTCCAGTCTATCTACTAAGACAATCATCTTTTTAGGTGTAATATTGTTTATTAAGACATAGGTAATTTCAGGTTTTACACTTTTCTCACAGGCTTGTGGAATGAAAGCTAATAGGCTGTTATATCACTTTCAGAATGAAATAGGGAATTGTGGCCAGCCTTCTTAGAGATTTGCAGTAAATGATACTTAAATGTTTGTTATATCACTGATTTTCTCTTTTGAAGCTGTTGTGAATGTCCGCTTCACCATGATTGAAAATTGAGATTTGTAAACATTACAGTTTAACCCATAAATTTTCTCAAACATGAAATCAGTATGAGTAAGCATAATTTGAAACGATCATATATGATAATTCCAAGAGTAAATACTTCCAAACCATGGAGGGATAACCACTGTATTTTTAAAAATATTGTTCCTACCCTTCTTTGCATGCTATTAATGACTTTTTTCCTAAATTAAAAGTATGTATTGTGGTATATTAAAAATCTGCAGGAAAAAATTTGCTTAAAGTGTTTTTAGCACAATAAAAATTTTTATTACTCAGGAGTTCAAGACCAACCTGGGCAACATGGTGAAACCCCGTCTCTACTAAAATACAAAAAAAAATCAACCAGGCATGGTGGCGGGCACATGTAATCCCAGCTATTTGGGAAGCTGAGGCAGGAGAATCACTTGAACCCTTGAGATGGAGGTTGCAGTGAGCCAAGATTGTGCCATTGCACTCCAGCCTGGGTGACAGAGTGAGACTGTCTCAAAAAAAAGAAAGAAAAAATAATTTTTATTACTGTTTCCTGAAGAATGTTTTTTTAAACTCTTGTTTATTATATCATTAAAAATACCTCCTAAGGGTTCAGTACAGTGCATTCCTTTTGCAACATAGATCATGTGGCTAGTTCTCCAACTGTTTTTTTTTTTTTTTGCTTGTTTTTAATAAACCTTGCTGTTCAACAATCAGATAAATCTTTATTTTGGAGGATTCTTCCAGCTGAGATAGAAATGTCTTAGACAATAGGAAAGGCGGATACAAAGTCCTAACATTTTTATAGTAGAGTTTACAAGTGAAATAATTTATCCATATATGTTATCTTCATTGTGTAGCACCAGTATAAATAGTGGTTTCATTAATCATTGAATCAGATGAAGCAGTTTTAAATAACTTTTTACTTTGTGCTAAGGATTATTGTAATTTCAGGCCACTTTATTATTTTCTCTGAGCAGTTTCCATTGTAAGACTGAATTTCCCTTTTTTAAATTCCGATCATCACTAAAGGTTAAGATAAATAGGAGTTAAAATAAGTTATGTTTGATCTTTTTCCCTTGAAAATAGTGAATTTATTGTCTACATTATGATTATTAGGCAGAAATGCACTTGTTTAAAGCATAGCAGTAATTACATTTGGAGGATATAATTACTCGATTTTCTAGTGGTGTGAAATACTCTTTAAAAATTGTGCTTGTCTGTAACTGAAATGTTATAGAGTTGTAACACTATAGGGATTATAGAGTTATATTTATTAGCTCTCCTCAAGAGACTGAAGCACAATATTTTTCATGTAACAATTCTTATCCAAGTGCTGCTAATCTGTTGTGCAAATAACGAAGCTATTTGGTTGCCTATTTAGCTATTCACAAATCACTGTAATCTTTGAAACAATCTTGTTGTTCATTTGTATTACTATTTGGATATTGTGAGTTAATACTTTAGGAAAAAAATCTGTCAACTCAGCCCTGTTAGCAAAACTGTTTGGATTCATTAGTTTTTATATGTGTTAACAGTAGGATAAATTTTGAAGGGGCTATTTACTACCAGTGACTAAGGGAAAAAATTACATTGTCACTATCATTTGACTTGAACATTTGTGGTATTGTAAAAGTCTTGTCAGTTGTGTTCTAAATTGCTTAAGCCATACAAAAACAGGATGTTTTTTGTTTTCTTCCTTTCCAGCAGCCTTTTTCTTGTTTGTCTGTTATGGTTAATACTCCATAGATTTTAGAAATTGAGAAGTTCTTGAAACATTTTATTTTCTTGAGTTCATCACTTTTGACTCTTGTATGTGATTTGTCATAAAAGATAGCCTTTCACTACTTCACTAAATGAATTTCAGAGTAAACACTGTGATTCTGCAGAGCTGATTCAGTAGGCTTTCCAATGTTTTCTCCTGTTACTCAGTGCCTACCACCTTGAGGGCACGTCAATGCTAGAGGATGAAAACTGAAACGTTGTTTTGATGTTTATTAAACGAGATTAGAGATTATTTGATTGATAAATGTTCTCTAGGAATGTGACTACATTCATCAGGTGTGAACTCTTGTACATGAATTTTGTATCTTGAATCCACATATATATTAAGTGCATCATCAATATAAAAATAAACATTATTTGCTTAAAGTTTTTGGTACTTTTTTGGTATTGACAGTTTAGGGTTTGCTTCATTCAGATATCTCAGAGGCTTTGAACGACCTTGGGGTTGTAGATTGGATGCTTCTTGTTAGTTTGTAAATGTCTGAATCCTGGTTTTGGTTTTTCCCTGCCCTGCTCCTGGTCAGAACGGGAACACGCGAAGGAAGGGGCTGTTGAAGAACTGAGTGGAATCTGCTTACTCTTGGGCTGGTGTTGAGTCTGGGGATGGAACCAGAGTTCCTTAAGGTGGCATGGGTGCGGTGGCATTGAGTTCAGGGACCTGACTTAGGCTACTGATTTGGACTGTACTTTGTTTTGAGACAGAGTTTCGCTCTTGTTGCTCAGGCTGGAGTGCAATGCATGATCTTGACTAACTGTAACGTCCGCCTCCCGGGTTCAAGTGATTCTCTCCTACCTCAGCCTCCCAAGTAGCTAGGATTACAGACATGCGCCACCACGTCCGGCTAATTTTGTATTTTTAGTAGAGACAGGGTTTCACCATGTTGGTAAGGCTGGTCTGAACTGACCTCAGGTGATCCACCCGCCTCGGCCTCCCAAAGTGCTGGGATTACAGACGTGAGCCACCGCACCACGCCTGGACTTAGAACAAAGCAGTTTTTCCTCTTCTGTATTTTTTCTTTTCCTACTGCCTGCATGATTGCTATTTATTTAAAGAGACGGAGTCTCGCCACGGTGCCCAGGCTGGTCTCGAACCCCTGGGCTCAAGACATCCTCTCACCTCAATCTTCCAAGTAGCTGGGACCATAGGGGCGCGCGCCGGGCACTTTTGATGCTTTGAACTTCTAAGGAGAAAGGAGACGGCCCAGCAGCGGATGGTGAAGCTAATCTAATACAGTGAGCTGCCACCAGCGTTAAGTGCATTACAGAATAAGAACGTGGTTCTGCTGGGCGTTATGTACTGGGATGTGACATAAAACGCATCATCTACAGTAGATGACAGGTGCCAAAGTATAAAAACTGGTCCCAAGGTGTAAGGTCCCAGGAGCTACCGGCTTCTGAGTGAAGCTGGAAACGCAGACTTCCCGGGTGACACGGTGGCAAGGCGGCTGGCTGCCTAGGGTGCGGCGGGACCGGGCCGCGCGGGGGGCGCCTGGACGAGTAGCGCAGCACAGCCGGGCCTGCGGCAAGGACTGGGTTCTTTTACCTTTTAATATGAAACCCCTCCCACTTAACCTCGCTCCTCACATGCCTCGGTTGAAAAAGAAAAAGACCAAGAGAGGCCTAGGAGACCCAGTCATCGTTTGCGGCACTGGCCGCTGCTGACGTGGCGAACTGGGCTGATGGAGCGTCCGGCCAGGCATCCGCACCCTCCATCCCTTCCGGCCCAACCGCCGCCCTGAGACTGGAACCATAGCCACCAAGGCCTCTCTCGGGCGCATGCGTCCGTCTAACCAACCCCGCGTGCAGTCACTTCCGGCGCGCTGGGAGACGTGCGGTTCCGGGTCACTGCTCAACTCGCCGGCCGGGCGGTGGGGGCTGGTGACGCGGGCCGGGGCTCGCGAGGGGCCCCGGAGGCGGGGCTTTGCTGGCTGCCCACAGAGCGGCAGGTGCGCGGGCCGGGACTCCGGGAATGCGAACAGGCCCCCCTCATTCTCCCGGTGGCCTCGGTCTGTCCTCACAGCGGCCGGGTCGGGGTTGCCCAAGCCCCAAGGCGGGGGGCGGCACCGGGGTGCTGAAAGGGTGAGAGTGGGGGCGGAGGCGGGCTGCCCCGGCCTGGGAGTCTGGAGCCTAGGGTTCCGGGATTCCTCCCTGCGCAACCTTGGACAAGTCGCTTCTCCTCCTTGGGGCTCAGTTTCCCTCCTGTCAAATGGGAGAGATATTGGATCCTTCCTTTCTTTGACAGTCCAAGCACGGGCGGGGCTGGAGGGAGCCTTAGGGACTGAGATCCAAACTGCCATGGAAGCACCTGCCTGCCTCCCTGGGCGTTAGGCATCTGTGTTTACCCAACTTTGCCTTGCCTTTTCTCAGTGCACATCCGTGACCAGACATCCCAGGGTCTGGCCAGATAAACTGTGTAAGTGTAGGAATCAACCGAGAAATAAATACTGGCCCAAGGAAAACTTAACCTCATTCAAATTGTTTTGCTCAGGGCTCCTAGAGAGAAGTGAATTTAGCCACACACTGCTGTGATTAATTCTGTTCTATGCGCTTGTAAGTGAAGCTCTTAGATAAATAACAAATTCATAGGATATCAGGGTTAGGGAGGGCAACCCATTGAGAGTTGTGTTAGTGACAGGTTTTCTTACTCCCTTTAATCCTTCTTCCACCCCTCCTCTTCCTTCACTTCTTCCCTGCATCCTCATCTAACATTTCGGCCATACACTTGAAATATCCAATGCTTTTTATCTTTGTCTTCATGCAGGACAGAATGCTTTGACCTCCAAGCTGTTTTAAATCTAGTAGATAAGTCAGGTGAGTAAGTGGTTTACAGACATTTAAAGTAAAGTTTCTGAAGAATTGTACAGACGTAATGGATGATCTGAAGTGGTAAGATGCCATTTGTATATCTTAGAGCAGAGCTTAGGTATCCTCCACAAAACATGGAAAGTTAAGGTTTGAACCAGAATATTAGTGTTTTATACACCAGTGGGAGGAAAAGATTTTTTTAATCTTACTTTGAATATCATGTCAAACATTCTGAAGAAAAGAAACTGTGATTGGAGGCAATTTTATCAAATTCAAAACCACACATTATCTCTAGAAAATGTTCAGGGATATCAAATACCTTATACAGTATACTTGTCTAGCTTGTCCTCTTTTTTTCTGTTACCAGCTTTTTCTATTGGACAGTTGACTGCAGACCATCCTGAAACAGAATATTACACCTTTTACATATTGAATTACATACTGAATGTTGAATTACATGTGTTTTGTCTTCAACTTAAACGAAAGAACACTGAACTGTAGTTAAGCTAATGGGAGGAAGGATTTGAAATCATTAAGTCATGAATATGTGATGTTGATGTCTGCTCTGAGAAATTTTGCCAAATGTGTCATATGTCATAGCCAATATGGTGTAATTAAAAAAAAATAGGTAGAGATTTGTGAATCAGAGTCCTCTGTTCAAATACCAGCCCTGCCACTTAGCCACACAATCTTTGGCAGGTTACTTCACCTCCTTGAGACTGAATTTCTTCATCTGTATATGCATATGAAGTACCTGAGTGCTTTTTAAATGTTTGGTAATTGTGTTCTATACGTGTACATGTAAGTTATGAAACTTAATTTTGAAATCTAAAGTGTAACATAACTCCGATGTGAAGTCTTTCCAGTGTTTAACTTTGAACTGTCTCTTTCATTTGATTTATAGATCCTGTGTTGCCATAAGCCCTTGGCCCATATTTAAGTGGGAATGCAGCTAGCTTGGATGTCTGAAACTTTGTAGGCTCTTGTGTCTGAATCCTGATCACAGACACCGGGACTACTGAGAGCTCTTTATCCGTGTGGGATAACCACACAGCAAACATGTTTGCAAAACTGAAGAAGAAAATTGCAGAAGAGACTGCTGTTGCTCAGAGGCCGGGAGGTGCTACTAGGATCCCACGGTCTGTGAGCAAGGAATCAGTTGCCTCAATGGGAGCTGACTCAGGAGATGACTTTGTAAGTATCTTTACTTAAGAAATAAAGATAGCTGGATGTGGTTCACACCTATAATCCCAGCACTTTGGGAAGCCAAGCCGGGTGGATCACCAGGTCAGGAGGTCGAGACCATCCTGGCCAACATGATGAAACCCATCTCTACTAAATATACAAAAATTAGCTGGGCATGGTGGCACACAGCTGTAGTTCCAGCTACTTGGGAGGCTGAGGCAGGAGGATCGCTTGAACCCAGGAGGCAGAGGTTGCAGTGAGCTGAGATTGTTCCACTGCACTCCAACCTGGCGGCAGAGCGAGAGACTGTCTCAAAAAAATAAAAATAAATAAAGATACTTTTGCAGGGAATTATTCCAATAAATATTTTAAATTACATGATTATTTCATACTTTCATGGTTTATAGCTGTGTAAGAGCTTGCACATCTGATTCTTACTCTGAGGTAGCTTTTTGTTAATGTTTGGTTTGTAAATGTTAGGTACTTTATTTTTTTTCTTTATTTTTCTGTGAGTTCCTCTCCATATTCTCTTCACTGTCCTCTTGTACTGTTTTTTCCGTCTATATACCTTGTGCATCTTCTTTTGCCTTTTATTTCTCAAAATGTGGGCCTGTTTTCTTTGCAGACATACATACTTATTTAACAGCGAAGTCATTACTGCTTAACAAGGTCTCTGAGTTGTGTTATGTAGTTAGTCAGGGTGCATTGTTGTATTGGGAAGGTTGATGGAAAGATGGCACCAGTGATACCAAAAATTACAGTATGTTTCTTTTTCCTTTTTTTTTTGAGATGGAGTTTTACTCTGTAGCCAAAGCTGGAGTGCAGTGGCATAATCTCGGCTCACTGCAGCCTCTTGCCTCCAGGGCTCAAGTGATTCTCACGCCTCAGCCTCCCAAGTAGCTGGGACTACAGGCATGTGTCACCATGCCTGGCTAATTTTTTTGTATTTTAGGAGAGACAGGGTTTCACCATGTCGCCAGGGTAGTCTTGAACTCTTGAGCTCAGGCAATCCGCCCACATTGGCCTCCTAAAGTGCTGGGATTACAGGCGTGAGCCACCATACCCGGCCTCTAATATGTTTCTTATTAGTAAAATATGTTTATGGCTGGTAAGATTTCAAAAAATGAAGATGTTGCTATATTAAGGAAATGTCATGCTTATAAAATAAAGTGTGTCTTTGGCATACAACAGGATCCTTTTAAGTTAGATAAATTTCTTTTTTTTTCTTGAGATGGTGTCGCACTCTATCACCCATGCTGGAGTGCAGTGGTGCAGTCTTGGCTCACTGCAACCTCCACTGCCCAGGTTCAAGCAATTCTCCTACCTCAGCCTCCCAAGTAGCTGAGACTCTGCCCGCCACCATGCAGGGCTAATTT